CAGTAGATTTAATCAAATATTTCTTCTTCCTGTAAACCTGCAATATTTATGTATGTCAAACGTTTCTATTATCATCTACATACAAGTAATGTTTTCAATTTTATTTTTGATGAGTTTCTCTACAGTAATATCAACTTTTGAAATAATCTCCTTGTTAGATGGAGAAGTAGCGAAGCAATAATATGCTCCCAAGACTTTTGAATAATCCAATAAATCTTAAACTACTTGTTTTTAGTATTTACAATTTCTACCCTAATAAAAACACAACAAATACAAAATTCGTGCAACGCACGTGTCAACGACTAGTATTGAAATATGTTTATCATTAAAATTTACTTGAAAAGTCCATTTAAGTTACTTTAAAGCTTAGACAAACGTTTAAATACGTGTAACTAAGATGAAAAAGGAGAAGATTATGACCAAGAAAAGAGACCATTCACCGTCCCATAGCCCTTCTTTTTTCACCTAACATAAGAATGGGTGACTTGCGCCATACTTCGCTCCCTAAATAAAAGGTTTGAGGGGCCATTCCTTCTTAATTAGCAATCATTCTCTCAAAGAAGTGGGAATTGGACACAATCAAAACCCTAAAATTTTGTTCTCTGCTTTTTGCTCAAATTGATTTGTTCCGAGACCAACGCAGTCTTGCTTGGTTTTCTTTTAGTCACAATAATTAAATTCTTAGCGTGTGTTGGGCATGAGTACTAGACTAAATTGGGCAGTAGTTATTGAAATAATTGCAACTTCCTTTTTCTTATCTAAACTGTCCTATGTTATTCAATTCTTCTTCCCAAATATGTCAATATAGTATGTTTTGTACAATTGAATTAGATTAAAATTTTTATTTGTCATCTTTTGCAATATGAGGTGGGGGCAAGAAGTGGGACGAGCACCAACAGCCGAGTATAACATACTCATTTAGTGGGACGCTCCCCTCATCTCACTTCTCATCCTTAGTATAGCATACTCATTTAGTAGGTTTCATGTGTTCTATTGCTTTATTGCGGTTAAATTCAATCCTTTCATTTCTACAAAGACGGCAATCTCCTAGTTCAAATAAAAATATGAAAACAAGATAAGATGAAATGTCACATGGGTTGTGCTACATGTATATAACAATTTACATAATGGTTTACCAATAAATGATGTGACGTAATTTAATTAAATCAAAATTTTATCAATCAAATAACTTTTTCACTTATATTTTGACATCTCATCATTATATAAAACATTATAAGCATTTTTTATATCACATTAAAGATACCAAACTATATTCACATAAATTATTCTAGGTGTACAACCAAGTTGTAGCAACTAATGAAGTGTGGGGATCCACACCATTGATTAAAAAAAAAGTTTTCGAAATGTATAATGTGGATGTCTTCCAACTCATTGATTGTAAATCAAGTTGTAAACTAGGTTGTACGCCTAGCATGCTTCATATTCACATATAGAATAATGTTGGGTTGTGTTACTTGTACATTATGGCGTTCATAATGGATGACATAATGTACAAGTGGCAGTACATTATTGGTGGGTGTGCTGGCCCACCGACACACCCTCCAATAGGATAATTCCACTTGTACATTATGTCATCCATTATGGATGGCATAATATACAAGTAGAATTATCCAAAAATTATNCGGCACACCCTCCAATAGGATAATTCCACTTGTACATTATGTCATCCATTATGGATGGCATAATGTACAAGTAGAATTATCCAATAATGTTATGAGTAATGCTATGGGCTGGGGGCTCTTAATAGGGGGCCGCCATTGGCCAATTATGTCAAATGCTATGTGTACTTTTATGTATCAATAGCATATTTCTAATATTATTTAGTATCAGTGGTGTTAGAATATCAATTTATGTGACAATATGTGAGTTCAATTAAATGTGCATTTACGTGATTTATCCAATGAACCTATAATTTAATGTCATTAATACTGTCATCTATAATGACGTTAAATATCAGTGGTGTTAAATAGTATTACTCACATATATGATTAATCTACTTACACATTCAATATTTACATTTTGGATGACATTTAATCTGTGTTTGTCTTCCTTTATTGTAGAAAAATGGATTAATGAATATTATTTTTTTAGAGAATATTTGATTGAAATTTAAATTAACCTTATTAGTTCGTGTGTAGAATATTTTATTGGGTTAATGTGTTGTGGAAAATCTTATTGTAGCAAACAATATTTTAAAATAATTGGAAACAAACGTGACCTTAATTATGTATAAAAATTGAGATCATTAATTCATTAATTTAAATAAATGTTGAAAAAGTCAAAATAAAATTAAATGTCACATCATTAAGCCCTCGTTTGGCCCTCATTTTTTTATTACATTATATTAATTTTTTCTCTCTTCATTTTAACTACATATTTTTCAAATAAAATAATATTACACATAAATTTAAAATATTTCATTATTTTTTTACCACATATTCTCTCATCAATCAATATTTCAAAAATTTTCAAGACCCCAAAATAAGTCCAAACATTTGCTAAATGTTATCCGTAAATGTAGCAAAAATGTCACCTATATAAGCAACAAAATCTAATATAAGCAACAAAATCTAGTATAAAGTACGAGTTTAAAAGCATCTGTCATGTAAGAAGAAATGTCAATTTCATCATAATTACCCAACAATATGTATGCTTCCAAGAGTCTACACTTGTGCTTTCCTTAGAGTGAACTGCTTGTACCAAATTTAGTCAAAGGGATATACTTCTACCAAATTAAGGGTCCGTTTGAGTCGAATTAAAATCTAATTTTAAGTCGAATTAAAATCTAATTTTAATCAAAGTAAAAGTCGAGTAATCAATATTAATCATATTTTTTATAGGTCTCACATCTTTTCAACCACACATTTCAAAAACTTATATCACAATCCATTAAAAATCTAATTTTAATCCCCACCAAACACCCTCTAAGGGTGTGTTAGATGAATATTATTGAGAAAATAATGTATTTTAAATAAGGGCCGAATGCAAAAGTTTAAAGTTAATGGGCACAATCAAATTTGTAAAAAAGTTTAGAGAAA